TCCACCCAAAAACATATATGATTCCTTTTATTTCCAAAATTAATAACATCCAAACAAATCCATCAAAACTCTGATCATCCCAGCCCTCAATGCCAAGAACAATTACCTAAAGCGTGAGAACCGAATAAAATGGCATGAATCGGTGTTCTCATTGCCACCAAATTTTTAAACCGCATAAACATAACATCTAGAAACCAACTTTAAACAATATGTATGTATACTATATGTCAAAAACAACCTAAAAGCTTTCCTACCAACAATCATATGGAACAACAAAGATGGACCTCCTATTGATCACCAAAGACCTACCCATATGGTTTACTCAAGTTGGTAAGGAGAGAAGCCTCCTTTTCTTGTCAACTAGGGTTTGATCTTTCTAGGAAGCACTCTAAGAGTAAATCCTGAGTGCACCAGGCTGACGTAGGGGAGTGCGCCCTTAAGATCACTCAAGAAGGGGATCAGGCGGGGGTATTAACAAAAAAAAAAGAAAAGAAGAAAACAAAGACCTTAATCATCACAAAGTAAAAAGGAACAATATCCAAAATCTTATATAATTGCCTCAAAACAACTATAAAATTTCACACAAATAGGTACAAGACTAATAAAAATACCATAAAAATTCAAAGAAAATAAATCCTTTTTATTTTTTCGAAAAATGCACACATATCATATATTCCATTAGTAATAAACCAAAAAAAAACTGAAAATGTTAGCAGTAAATAAGGAACATGAGTTGAACTTAAAGAAATCAATAACAGTAAGGGGTTAAAAAAAGGAATAGTTTAAGATAGATAAGGAAAAAAATTTCAATAACTACTAACCAATTTAAAAGTCCAGAAAACTTCAATGATAAACCAAAACTAACAAAATTAAGAAATAACTGAATTGACGTTGACTCAATGCCATTAGTAACACACAAAAAAAAGGCTAAAAACCTACCCAAAAAAGGTTCAACATAACAAAAACAAAAGGATGCAATTGTTAATGAGTGAACAAAAAAATTCAAAATGATCATCGAAAACACACATTAAAAAAATAATAAAACACGAATTTGCCTTCACTCAATGCCATTATTTACATGAAAAATACATAAAAAAATAAAATTAAGAAAAAAATCAAAACCCACTCAAAAAACAACACAATTTCTTTAAAAATAAAAAGTCAAAAGAATTGACCTTGTCTTTATCGTCAAGAATTCCATCAACAGAATTCTCCAGAAGCTGCGATCGATCACCGCCACCGCCACCGCCACCGCCACCGCCATCTCCTCCTTGGAATGTAAAAAACCAATAAGAAACGATCACGAACAACGACGCCGCCACCGCCACTTTGATCTCCCACCAGGACGGCACGAAATACGCCGCAACGACCGCCGCCGTTTCAATCATGATATATTTATATTATTTAAAACTATTATTCTGTGTTTATTTCCGTAATTACTATTCCTATGAAATTAATCAAAAGAATGAATCAACATTTTCATTAGGATTTGAAAGGGTTTTATGTTAGGGTTCTTTGATTTGTAACTTTGTACAGAAAAACAAAAGTTGGAAAGAAGCATTTTTATGTTAGGGAGAGAGTCAAAGATGGAGACCGTTGGAATTGTTGAAGGACTTGGCATTTAACACCTTGAAGAAATCGTTATTGCGTTTCTTAATTATGTAAATACCCTTATCTTTGTCTTCTAATTCCGCCATACGTCCGGCTATTTAACGTGTGGTTTTGGTGAGTTTAAGGGGTAGGTTTGATCTGTGAATTTGAAAATTATAACCCCTAGAAAAGTAGGTTTCGCATGAAATGGAAAGGAGGAGTTGACAAGCCTGGATATGACTTTAATTAACGGATTAGATAAAGGGAAAATAACTTTTTTTTCTTTTATTGTTGTTTTTTAATTACATCATTATTATTTAATTATAATTTTAAATTCTAATCATTAATAATATACTTATTTTTTTGGAAATAATAATATAGTGATAATCATTTTTATTATTTGGCAAATAATTTTTTGTTGTATGTTATTTTATTCCATTATCTTTTAATTTAATTGTACACGTAAGAATATATTTAATTGACATAATACCTTTAAAATTTTTAAATAAATTATTATTATTTAATATTAAATTCAATCAAATCTTTATGATTTTATTTTTAAGTAAATAGATATTTATGATTAATAATTAACTAATTATTATTAATCAAAAGTTACTTGTCATTTTATAATACATATTGCTAATGTGAGATGTTAATATATTATAATGGATAGTGATTTGATATTAAAACATGATCACATAATTTTTTTTATTTTTCATGTCAAAACAATGTGATAATAAAATAATAAACGGTGTTTAGATTAATGTCAGTTAGTTTATTGTTAATCGTAAGAGTTTGTTCGACCCAACACTCAAGCATTTGGTTCATTGATTTGTATATAATCTTCTTAATTAAAAAACATGGATTTAAATCTCTTTCTTTAAAAAAAATAAAAATCTATTTGACTTAAATAAAAATATAAAAAATTAATTAAACGTAATAAAAAATAAAATATTATTTAATTTTTCTTAAATAGTTCAAAAACTTTTTAAAGCATTATGTTTTTTTTTAATTGGTGTAACTTCTTAAATTTATTTTTACTAATTTATCATAAAAAATAAAAAAAGAAAAAAATATTTTGAATTTGAACCTCTTATACAAAAGAAAATAAAAAATGTAGACAATTTTCAAGAATCTTGCTTGTTTTTTGTTTGCTCTAATAAAAAAGAAAAAGAAAATACAAGTTGTGGACAATTTCTAGAATCTGTGTATGTGTGGTTGATTCCAAGTTATAAATACAATTTAACAATAAGCTTGAAGAAATTTAAAATAAGTAGAAAGACTTTGGCAATTTGTTACCATTTTTCTACAAAATTAGGCTTAAGCTTGTTTATCTTTTATATAGAAATGGCAATCAATGCCATAACCTTATCCTTTTTCATTTAATTGACTGATAAGGTTGGTTGGTGGAGTTGGACTTGGACTAGAAAAAGAGAGGTCTACATTGGAAAATTCTACCTATTAGTTCATTTGCATTTTTCATTTGATTTATTGATTTGGGTTTTGAAAAAGTTTACTAAGAGAAGAGAATTTAGAAATATAAAAATTTGATTAAATTTCACGTCATATATTAACTCAAAAATATGTATTATAAAATTAAAATAGACTGCCTACAAAATTGAATTAATTATTTTATTAACAATTATTATTAATTTTTTAATCAATTTTTTAAAATGAATAAAATTAAATGTTGCATCATGATTTGAAAGAAATAAAAATTTAAATCCTCGAATTAAGAATTTGATAAATATTAATTAATTAGATCTTAAATTGAGTATTTAATCAAAATATACAAAAAAAAGTCTTTTTTTTTATACACAAAGGAATTAGGAATACCAACACACAAATTGAATATTTTCTTTTCAACTTGATATAAAAACAAGATTAATTGGCATCTCAGTATTTGAGTTATAATAAATGTATGCATTTTCATATAAGATTTATAAGATGTGTTTAATACGAGTCAATTAATTATAATACAAGTAGATTAACTCTTATTTTTAACTTAAAATTAATTATGTATTTATATTATATATAAAAAATTGTCATAATATTTGAAAAAACTCATGAAGTATTTACTTAAATTCAAATACTGTAAGTCCTTATTATTTTATTATGTTCAGTCAAGTTTGTATATTTTTATTTTAAATTAAATAAATTTTTATAATTAATGATTGATTAACTATTATTCGTCAAAATGTTACTTATTATTTTATATCATATGTTATTGATTTGATATGTTGACATGTCACAATGATGATGACATAACATATTGATATGGTATAGTGACATAGTTATGCGATATTTATTACCTTTCATGTCAATACCACATTCTCATCATATAAATAAAAAATGACAAATGATATTTTAATTTATTACAAGTAATCAACTATTTGTTATAATTTATTTGACTTGAAATAAAAGTATATGAATTTGATTGAAATGTAATAAAAAATAAAAATTTATTTGAATAGTTTAGAAAATTTTTCAAGCATTATGTTAAAAATTTAAGTATAATGCTCGAAAATACTTTTAAACTATTTTAAGAAATTCAAATAAACTATTGTTATTTTCTTACATTCAATCAAATCTATATATTTTTATTTTGGATCAATTAAGCCTTTATAACTAATAGTTGACTTATTTTTATTAATCAAAATGCTACTTATTATTTTATGTTTATATAAAACTAATATAACTTTAACGTGAAGAGTAAGAAATACCATATGATCATGTTACTATACGAAATTAGCATGTTACGTTATCATCAATTATAATATGTCAACATATCACATAATCATCAATTATGATATGTCAACATATCACGTGATATAAAATAAATAATTAAAAAATTTATTTAATTTAAAATAAAAATATATAAATTTATTTAATTAAAAATAAAAATAAAAGAATTTAATTAAATTTAATAAAATATAAAGATTTGTTTAAATTTTACTGAATAATTTAAAATTTTTTTAGATATTATGCTTAAAATTTATATTGACTTCAAATATAAATATGGTTATATGATTTAAAAAAAAAAATGAGCCAAATAGAAAGGAGGCAGGTGTCGAAAAACAATAGAAGCATGGCACGTATTAGAAGTTGTTAGCTAAAGCGGGAAGTCTAAGACACGAAGAGCTGCTAATAACAACGAAACTAAAACTTCCACTTAGGTTTACTACTCTAACGTTAACTTCCTCACTTCTCTTTCCTCGCCGCCTTCTTTCCTTCTAACTTAACTTCTCTTCTATTTCTCTGGTACGTCCCTCTCTCTTGTCCTTTCCTTCTAGATTTACGTACTTTTATACCTAGTCAATATATATGTACTACCACTACTTCTCCTTATTGTATACATTATGGCTCTTTTTTTTCCCCTATTTTATGGTAATTAAAACTGACTGTACTATGTTTCATTTCCATGTTTTAACTGTTCAGTCTCGTTCTTCAGCTTGATGGGTTGTTTGAATTTAGCTTGGAAATGTTTGTTGAATTGTTTTAGCTGCTCTTCTTTCATCATTTCTTACTGGACATATATGGGATGTATGTGAAGCATACATGTTGACATGATAGCTCAATTTTACTACCATGGAAGATTGTTAGCTTTTAATTCTAATTGATTCTTTTTTCCCAAAAAGTTTTTTTCTCTGCCAGGCAGTGGTTTCTGTGGGTGATGCATGTGCTAGTAACATGTTTCTTCCTTCTCTGAATTTTTACTTTTGCTAGCTTTAATTTATATTTGGAGCTATTGCTTTACTGCTATTCTGGCTTTTTCTTTTTCTTTTGTTTTTTTTTCCTGTTTTTTGTTTTCTTAGTTTCTGCAAAATATAGGTTGCTGCCATTTTGTTCTTTTTTGGTTGAAGTTACTGTATATTTTAACCAGAAAATCGGAAAGTAATATCAGTCACTGAATGCTTAAATTTGTTTCTAATTATCCATTGAAATCCTAGAGTTAAATTCTATATTCACTTAAGCCAAAGTATAGGGCTATATAAGTACTGCAGAAATTAGAATTTTCTAAAAGGACATTAAAAGTCCGGAAGATATAGTTTCTGAAATTTGCAGAATCAAGTCCTTGGATAAGCTAATGACATTTGGAAAATCATTAAGCAATGACATTCAGGAAAGGTTTTGTCTGACAGGCAAGTTCTTTTTAACGCCTTAATTCAAATTAAAAATTCAAGAATAAACAGCACTTTGAAGATAGATGGATTTATAAGCTTTATTATAGTAGCTTATTATTATTTTTTAAATGTCTGCAGAACTGTATGGTTTAATTAAGCATTGCACTTTGAATTGAAAACCAAAGGCGTTTGCTTTTTTCCCTTCCACACAAACCCAATTTTCCTTGTAATCGACACTGTCATTCGTGTCTCCCTATCTTATATAGTCATATGAAATTGACAGTGGTATACACTTGATGGATTGTGCATTGCACTTGTACTTGCATATCATTCTGCCACCATCTATCTTTGTTTGATTATTTCCTCTCTTTCTCTTGTCACTTTCTCATTCTCTTGGTCTGCCTCTGTAGTGTGGGACATGTACAGTCTCTATAGGCATGTATAGTGTTATGTATTGATGACAATTTGGAAGAGTTTTAGAGACATGATCAATGTCTTGGAGCTTATTCCTCTGCAGATGGACCTCTGATTTCATATGTCTAATATGTTTATATTTCTACCTTCCAATAGGGGACTATAATTTCATTTCTCGTGTAATTCTTTTTCCCCTCATCAGATGTTCTTCCTGCCATATTTAATTGTGGACTGAACTCAGAAACTAGTGTTCCTTTTGTAGTTGAAACATATTTTATTTTGGAAGATTTGAATTCAATAAATTTAACACAAGCTTGTTTCATCAGCTTGCATGTGAACTATGAAGGAATTTTCTTTAGCAAATTGCTTCATGGTAGTATGACTGTTGTATGGTTCCTGCGTAACTATTGATGGATGTTGATCCAGATAGTAAACCACATTGTACTGGAAAAGCTGCACTTGACAAGGAGAAGAACACTCCCTTGGTCCACTTAGATGGGAGGAATATAAGGTGCATGAATAATTGCAAGGAGAGCATCAATAGCATGGAGGTTCTGTTGCATAAACAAAATAAGGCTTCCAATAGTCCTGAGGATGTTGAAGTTGATATAATTGGATGCACAAATAATGGTGACGCCAGAACAGTTAAAACTGAGGACCCAGATGCAACTGAATGTTCCAGCTCATTTGCCGACACTACATCTGATACTGAGAAATGTTCTGGATTGAATGATGCTGAAGTGGAATCCCAGTTCATTGGTGATGCTGCTTTTACATCTACTTATGATGCATTTAGTAGTATGTTTCATATAAGGTGTGCTTTTGTTCCATCTTGACGACCTTTTAATCATTATATGTATTTGCTTTCAAATATTAAAAATCTAGAGCAAGAACCATAGTTGTCCTGTTTGGAAGCCTAGAACCAATATAGAGTCAATAGGTCATTACAACTTGGAGAAGATACTTATTTAAGAAATGTGAAGTTATTAAGAAAATAATTGTCATACCAAGGACTTTTTGTGGAATGTCTGTTCAAATATTTGAGGTTTGTTTTGGTAAATTCTTCAGTTTTCTGTTCTGTTCTTTCCAAGCAGATAGTTGGTAATCTTAAGTTGTTCGGCATCCTCATGCTTCAGCAATTGTTTTGCCTTGCCTATTCCAATCTTGTTGAGATCATAAAGTTCTTTTACTTTATTTTACCATAGGCTGATGAGATATGCATGCAGCAAAACTATTTTCTTGATGCGCTTTTGCTCACATTTCTAGTTAGTAATACACCTAACTTTTTCATGCTTCCCCTTTAGGAAGAAGAGGTTGACAAGTCATTGGAGGAGCTTCATACGGCCACTCATGTGGCGCTGCAAATGGGCAGAACTGAGAATCAAAGAAATTGAGTCTCAAGCACTAAAATATGGCAGAGAACTTGCAGCATATGATGAGAGAAAACTTTCAGGAATTGATCAATCTACAGTGGAGGGTTTTGGTTCAAAGTCATTGCCATTTTCTAGTCCTTGTTACCGTAAAAAGGTGATAAAGAGGAGGAGACGGAAGCGAATCGAAGAAACAACTGATATAACATCATACATGTCATGCCATAACTTATTTTCCTATCTTGGTATGAGTTTTTTTTTTTTTTTTAATACTTGATCATTGTGGTTTAGGTGTTTTTCTCTTCTCTCCTTAACCCCAATGCTCATGTGTGAGCTTCTTGGTAATAATATATTGCAGAAAACAAGAAAACCATTCCAGATGGCACATATATTGCTGATGATTTGGCCAACACAGGTAATCATTCTCCCTTTAAATAATTTTATTTTTTCTTTCTTAACATGTAAATTTGATCTTGGACAACTCTGAGAACTATCTTGCTTTGTAGTTTTGTTCAACATACTAAAATATGCAATTTAAAAGCAGTAAAATTTTGAATCTCAAAGATAAAGAGAGCTAGTTTCTTGACGAGGGAACTGAGCATAGTCTCAAATGATGTGGAGCAATATTCTTCCAAGTACAGCTATAACTCTGTGGATTGGAAATTTAATTTCAAGATAAGTGCTTAAAAGCGTCAAGACGACAATCCGTAGTATACCCACTCCCCTAGGATGGTTAATTGGGCTTAAATTTTAAATATCTGAATTAAAAATTTAAAAAAAGAAAAGAGTTTGCTTTTGATCTTCCATTAATAAACTGATTTACTGTTTGTCTGCATGAAGCTTTTCATTTTTTTTTTTTGGGTTCTCTAAAGTTTCTAATTTCCTATATTTTAAGTTCATTCATAACTATTCATTTTGCAAGAAAGGATTCCAATGGATTCTAAGATATCAAATATTTTGCCATGGGTGGCTCCATTCGTGGTGTGATAAAAATACACTGACATGTTGAAAAACACAATCACATGTTAATTGTTAAATGGAAGTGATAATTACTAAGGTAGAATTCCCATTTCATAGAATACTTTCTTGTGGATTTCAGTTTCCTCTAGTTTTGACTGTGAAGTTGTTTTTGTCATTACTTCGTGCAGCCAATATGGACCAACAAACTGGTTGCGGTGGTAAATTTGGCATTAATAATGATCAATTGCTTTTGGAGTTCAGAGATGGTAATAATTCCTTGGAGCAAGTCCTTTGGAAAATTGAAATTGTGCATTCTAGGGTTCAAAAAATCAGGAGTCAGCTTGATCTGGTGATGTCCAAAAATGCTTCAAAGTTTTCTTCCTCGGAGAATTTGAGCCTCCTTGCAGCTTGTGATGCTCAAACCAGCTCTGCTCCTAGCCCTACATTTTCAGCTGGCAATGGAGACACAATATCAGTGGGACCTGCGTTTAATACAACTCAGCAAATGTCAGAATATGATGTTGGAGATCTGGTTATGCCTGCAAGTGCTATTTCAACTTATGGGGAAGCTTTTCATGTTCCTGATATAATTGAAAGCACTGTTGGATTGTTGTCATCTGCTGATGTTACCTGCCATCAGCCACAAATTGGTGACTCTTGTGAAGATGTAAGCATTCTTGATATAAGAAAACTTCCATGTAGATTATTGGATCATGTTTTACCAGATATCTTAATGGAAGCATTGTTTAGTGTTTAGATTACTGAAGCTTGAAATTGTGTAATATGAAATCAAATCTTTGAAAGAGCCCTCCATTTTATCCTGTAAACTGGAAATAAGATATTGTTAAGCTTGAATGACCTACATTTTCTTTCCCCAGGATATATTCTTTTATATTTTTGATTGCAAAGGTTCGAAGGATATAGTACAAAACTGAATAAGGGTTTTACGCAATCTTGCTTTTTTATAAATAATAAAGAAAATCTGGTATCTGTTTGAGTTACTTGATTTTTTGCTATACATGAAATTTTAGTTTTTTTTTTCTTTTTAAAAGTCACTGCCCCATACTCCTTGATATTGTTATTGCACTTGAGAATCCATTAATTATTTTACCCATGATATTTGCAGATTGTGGAAAATGTTCTGATACAAAATGAAGGAAATGCTGGAGATAGACAGGTTTTAATGAGGACAAATAGTCAACCTATAAAGCAACATCATCAACCAGAGAAAGTTGAAGAAGGAGAGAGCACCAATCCTTCTCCTATTCCAACATCAGAACCTAATCATGCAACAAAAAGCAGCGTGTCTCAGGATCAATCAACTCTGAGGTCATGTCTGGCCTCAGACATCTGTTTCCCTAGGAACAAAAGAAAGCGAGGGGAGCGTAAAGCTGGTTCCGGTGGTTGGAGCCGGAAACACTCAGGTGAGCCTGATAGCCAATGAGTTCATTTTTGATGGTTCACTAGCCTAATAAGCCTGACATTTCTCTACTAAGTCGATCACAGAGGCACTCAGTGGCACTGTAAAGAAAGTACCATGGTCTTGATGCTATAGACGTGTTGTTGAAAGGTAACTCCTAGACATGGTTTTCAGATCCTCTAGGTTGTAGTTCTGATGAGCTTGACAGTGAGTGGCAGTCTTCATGAGGTCGAAAATTAATTTGCATTTCCATGATGATGACGATAGTCTGTAGTCTGTAAGCAAAAACTAGTGTTGTTATGTTTCTTCAAGTTCAGATTTGCAGGCACCATGAGCTAATTCTCCATTCCAATTTTTCAATGCAACTTTCATTGAGTTGAACCGCTAAAGTTAATTCTACAGGCTCTTGTCCACTTCAATCTGTTTAGTGGCTCGCGGCAAGTGGACTCATTAAAGTTGAAAGTAATTGTATGCTAAAATCTTGGTTTTGGTCATAAATTAATCATTGTTGTGATTTTCTGTTGCATGAATTTCATTTTGTTCAAACCCCTCTATTTCTATGTGCATGATAATTGTTTTGTAGATGAGCAGTCATTGGAGAAAATTTGGTGAGAACTGGCTGCTTTTTGTTGAGACATAGGATGCCATTTCACCTAGAGTGTCAAACTCTTGGGTCATTACTGTTGGAAAATTAGTTGTTCCCTGAGCAGTGGACATGCAAATGGAACAGTTGGCAGAGATTTTAAACAGAAGGCATTGTGGAAACTAGGGGAGTGGGGTAGGGGATAAAATGTCATTTGATGCTGTATTATAGAATTTATATGATAATCTTCTGATTCTGTTTATCATTTGTAGAATTCATGCTCAAAGCTCCAACAAGGAAAAAACCCTTTAATGATAGCCTACATGGCTGACATGATAATACAGAAAACAAATCAATCAGTGTTGTCTAAGTTGTGAAACAAGAGAAACCAATGTGCAGAAACGTTTAACCTTAGACAAGTCTCATGAAAATGAAATGTATGCTTCAGAAGCATTGGAGAGAAAAAGGGTCTCTCTTGAAATCCAACAAAAATTGGAACAAAACCGAGAAAGAATGAGATGTATTGTGACAATTTTCATTTTTCATGATAGTGTTCTCTCAAAATTTAACAAGGATGGTAATGAGCCAAAACTACAATGGAGATGAAAGAGCTGTAGCAGTGCAGGCTTCAGGGGGTGGGGCCATAGATGCAGAGCACGTTGATGGGTGTCAGCTACTGCACGTGTTGCCACTTCACTGCCTGCTGCAGTTGGCATACTTGTACGCACGTGATGTACCCAATACCTGATCAAATTAGGCTAAACACACATACGGCCCGACAGTGCGGAAGGGACAGCATTTCGTTCTCTTGCTCGACTTCTTCTTTGCTTGAGATAAATCATTATTTACTTAACAAAATTTTCACTGAGTTCGGCTCAAAATGTTGCATCTTTACAGCTTCCATGCCTGAAATTTTAGTTGGAAGATGGCAATCTTTAGTATTTTCACTTCAGCATAATAGCTTAAGTAAAGCTTCCAGAGTCCAGGAAGCTGCCAATTGACTTTATAAGAAACCCCAATCCTTTAACCCTGTGGGGAGGTCTTGGTTACATCCAATCCAGAGTGGACAAAATGATATCCATGGTCTACAATGTACAAAAGCAAAAGAAGACTGGAAGCCCCTAGCTACTATCTTTTGACTCAGGAAAGAAATGTCAGGCGATGGAGATGTCCTATTAAATCTACTTTTTTGAATCTTTCCTTCATTATTAAAACTCTACTCAGCCTTTATCAACACAATGAGATGATGGAAATGTCTACTTACTCATCAACCCTATGGCTTGAAGTAGAAACCTCTTAACTTCTAGCCCCTGTTGTCAACAACATTCTTCCACTCAATTTCATGCATTATTATTACAATTATTAATTTGCATTAGTTAATGAAATTAGTTATATATCAAGGAAAAGAAAATAATATGGTAAATTTAATGCAGTCTTACTTATAACACATCCCAATGGAGATTATTTTAATGGCATATTAATAACAAAGTATTTAATTGTACTGAGGGCAATCTCTAATCCAACATCCGCAATCATCATGTCTCTTTGCAGCAGCTTTTGGGGTTTCTGATATAACACCACCCACAAAATGAATCATGACGCCATCCATTGAAAAATTATTTATAACAAAGACATATACACTACATCTTACAAAAGAAATACTACTTGCTAAAAAGAAAAAGCCCACCACTTTTGGGTGGATTTTTTAGGCATATTAAATTCATCTCACATACTTTACCAATTATAACAAAGGCCGAATCGTTTGTCAAAATCAGTACAACCCTCACCCTGCTATGGAAAGGCTAATCAGAGCTAATTTCATGGACTTTCTGTAGTCTCCAAAGATATAATTGGTGCCCCTTTGCCTCTTGTTAAACTGAAGATATAGTTTTAAAGCATTCTTATATTCTTGCTGAAATGTATTAGGGTTCAGCTGTGCAATCCAACTGAACACACACTTAAGCATTCTTATATCTTTATAAGTATTTCTTAAGTTTCTTAATCTTTTGTTACTATATGTATTGGCAAGATATTTCTATATTTAGAATATGTAGTCCTTCTGGCTGAACAATTTCATAATTGTAACAAAAAGGAATCTTGATGATTAAGGCCAAAAAGGAAACAACAGTACTGTGACCCCTCCCCCCCAACTTGGTAAAATAATTATCTTAATGTGCTAAGATTTGTGTTAGAGGGTAAGGAGGTGGGTTTTTCACCTTAATCCTCTATGATTCTTCTAACACAAAGGCAGGCCAAGCATGTGTAAAACAGTTAATGATCCCCAAACCATCTCACTTGCTAACAATGATAAACTTGGGAGGAAAACATGATTATAGGGGGTCTAGATACTTGCTAATGCCCTAAAAAGTAATGATTTCAAGTGATAAGGGGTACTAGAGTCATTGCATTAAATAAAGTAACAATTTTACTTTGCCTTTAAATTTTGAAATTCTCTCTCTTACACACACAAAAAATAAAAATAAAAATCACTAGGAATCATGCCTGCCAAAGGAAAAGAAAGGGAACTGTAATAAAGAATGGAGAAAAAGAAAAGAAGCACATTGCCAACTCCATCTTTGAGTCATCACAACTTGAAGGCCAAAGGCTTTTCCCTCTCTCTACACAGATGAAAATTCCCTGCTTTCTGATCTTTTCTCAGCTCTCTCACACATCATTCCTCAGCTTGCTTTGTTCATGCAAGATCCAAAGAACTCTCACACAAGGTATGCCTTCTAAAATATGCTCTCTCTCTCTCTCTGTCTGTGCTGCATGTACCCAAAATACTGTAAAGAGCTAATCAAATGCAGCAATGTTGCTCAAATCACTTGATCATTCACCATAAATTGTCATTGGTATTGGTTTCATATTGTCTGTTTTACTGTAAAACCTGCAACGAAGAATTTTCTGATGACATATTTTATGTTCAATACAAGCATCTTATAGCTAGGACAGTGAGCCAGTGACAGTAGATAGGGTGATATATTGCTTCCAGTTCTCCAAAATTTGAATTGATTCTAGTAAGTTGCCCTTAAAGCATGTAAAATGCAAGGGTTCCCTGATTTTAGACTTGCTGAGATCAGCTTGACAAGTTGCATAGACGAGTGATTATTAATGTGCTCCGATTTCATGGAGTTGAGCAAGAATGTTCCAAGTCGGTGGCTTTAGCACAATTGTCCACAAAGTGCTAAGGTTACTGGGCCTATATGTATTTGACCCTAGGTGCCAAGGTCTCCTTCAGAAGTTGATCTAGTGGTTGGGCCTCCGGCTGGGGTCTGTAAACCCAGTCCAATCTTGTCTAGAGGTTAATGTCCAGCTTGACTTCCATGGGCGGCTTGGGTCAAGCACAATCACCATTAATTCTTGAGCAATTGGCTGAGCTCAAATCCATCATATATCTTGACCTTGATCACTTCATTAAAAAAAATAAAATACAAAAGGCTTCATCTGTGAACACCATTAGTTTTTATTCAAAGTCTTTATTCTTTTCCTAAGGTAGCTTTCCGCCTTTCTTGAAGAAGCAGCGGATAAGAAAAAGTATATATATTGGGTAGGGCAACTTCAGAGTTAGTTGAATCTGTTAATATAAACAAATAATACAATTGTGACATCTCATCAATGTGAGCGGCCTGAAATCCAAGTACAAATCAAGAAACCTGGACCATCAATTCTCAACTTACAGATAAAAACAAAGAAAAAATAAGAAGAATCAGCAGAGTGATAAGCATGTCAACGAATGTGGTAATTCTTTTAAGCTTTTTTTAGTTACATCATTGATGTGTTGTTCAACCAGTGTAATGAGTTGTCCTCATTTTGACCGTACATAAGACCCTTTCACCCCCCCAAAGATTTGTTGGTATAATTTGCCTTTTATCACAATATTGTTACATGGCATTTCCCCAGGTATCTAAATTCCTCTGGATTCAGATTCTTTTTTGTTATAACCTACATATAAGGCTATTGATGTTGAAATTGTCAAAAAGACAAGTATGAATTAAACCCTTCTCTGATAATATATCTAGCTAAAATTGGGAACTTGGCATTTGGCATGGATAAGTTTAGGATTTCAGACCATATTGAAAACGGCTGCTTATAATAGTATATATAGTTTGATGTGGTTTGGCTATTGGCAAAGAATTTGTATGTTGGCATTTGTCTTCTTCATCCACAATAGTTCTCCAATGAATTCACAAAAGCATACTGTTCAGGATTTCATACTTTACATGCGTGTGTTTTTCTGTAGGAAGCCTTGGTATCAAAGAGCAATGGAGAGGGCTACCGTATGGAAAACTGGTCCAAAGACTGCCGAAATCCCTTCTACGAGTGCTACATTGTGGAAAACCATTTCCAAGCCCACGGAAATTCCCATGGCGAATGCAACACTATGGAAAGCAATCCCCAAGTCCGCTGAGATCCCATCAACTCATCCCAACAGAGAGAAGCTGAGGAAATGCACCTCCCTCAGGGTTGCCACATCGTTTACTCGTGTTTGTCTATGTGCACCAATCTCTTCCTACAATGAGGTGTTTCGTGCGGACGTTCCCCCTCGAAGAAGCAACAGTTACCCTAGGTCAAAGCCGTTTACCCTGTCACAAGAAAGAATACCTAGCGCGAGACTTAGCACGGAAGGAAGAAGAGTTTTCCGCGGAAAATCTTTGACGGATGATGTTTTGATGAGGAGATTTGTTGTGGAAGAAGAAGCAATGATGCAAGTTAGGAGGAGGAACCAAATGGAAGTCATAAGGAGGAGAAGTATGATGAGAAGGAAGAAGCTTGGCCCTAGTCCTCTTAGTAGAATGGTAAAGGCTAAGGAGGAGGAGGAGGAAGAAACTTTTTAATTTTTCTTTTTGAAAATTTACCCATCATTTCTCTTTTTGTTCTTTTTCTTCTTAATTATTGCCTAAATTGTTTGCACTCTTCACTGGGCACTTCCTTTTGCTATATAATCAAACAATTTGGATGGAGGGAAAAATCTGCAAATTGTGGGAACATAAGAACAGTAGTGGAATTACTTTTGGCTATATCATTAAACTTGCTTATACTCCACTCTAAAACAAAGCATGCTCAACTTATAAATCAAGGATAGTAGTTATCTAATCTATATCACAACTTACCAGGTTAGGTTGTTTTGCCTGTGATGATAATGCCATTGCACAAAACAAATTGTTCCTCCCCTTTTTGCTCTGTCAACAACCACTTTGTCTACTAGCTATACCTTCATTCTGCTTTCTCCCCTCTTCAACTGCTTCTGCTGTCTTTATATTCTACCAATCTCTACATTTATTTTCCTCATAATTGTGATCATTTGATTCATTTCCAACTTGATTCTTCTGTTGGGACTTAAGAAGTTTAAGAGGAGAGAAAGGGTATCCATTTAATTCTTTAGATCATGTCGTAAATTTTAAGGTTTTTTTAAGAGTTTGTACCTTTCCTTTCTCGTTCCTTCGTGAATCTACTACTTAATGTGAGAATATTGTTATTCTTTCATATTTTTACTTCTCATTTATTTAAAACAAGAAATTACTAATCTTCAATTTTGTGAGAACATTTTAGAGGTTACATTAATTCTGATTTTCACTTTGCAAAAGCCAAATGAACCAGGAAAAACAATAATTATAAAATGGAATAGGCATAATATTAAAAAAAATCTTTGAATTATTTAATTTTTTTTTATTTTTTTATTACATTCAATTACGTTTATTTATTTTTATTTTGGATCAAATAGGAATTTTGCGACTAATAGATAATTAACTATGTGAAAGATGAAAAATACCATCTTATTACATCAGTATGTTATGTCATCATTTATTATGATATGTCAATATATCATGTCAGTATTATATGATATAAAATGACAAGTAATATTTTAACTAACAATAATTAATTAGTTCCTAATCATAAATATTTATTTAATTTAAAATAAAAATACAAATACTTGATTAAATAAAATAAAAAAATAAAAATTTATTTAAATTTTTATAAACAATTAAAGTTTTTTTTAAATATCGTATCAATCAAATATAATCTTTACGTGAACATGTTTTTCAGTTAAATTTACACATTTCAACGGAAGATGATCTTTTCTCCTTGATTTTTTGATGGCGTGATCTAAACAGCAAAGTCAGTATAATATTTAACAAATGGAAAAATAAATATTTATTTTGCCCTTGAATTTTAAAGCTCTAAAGTTAGCAATATACAAAATAAGTGGGCCTCATTTTATCTCATTAAAGAGAAAAAGAATGTTCAAAGAATATGAAGCTATAAAGAAGAATGTGCAACAACAATAATAATAGAATATATTCAATTGACCTATAAACAAATAATTTGTAAGGGAGGGCTTTTTGTCTTAGCTGTTAAGGCAATTCCCACCATGAACTCTGCCCAAGTTCATGTGTTTCTTATGTTGGCCACCTCTTTTCTTTTTCATTTTTTATAGCCAAAGATTGAAGGGTTTCTTGTGGGTTGAACCAAAGTTTTAGGTTCACTATGAGTAAAAGTAGGGTCAGAGAAAAGACAAGTAGTTGAACTGTCCAAATAGAGAGACAAGATATCTATTAATTGGAAACTAGGGATGAACTTATTTTCAATATATATATATATATATAAAACATTTGTGTTGAAGAAAAAAATACATGTGAAAATAAAATTATTATGGATATTATAGTATTATTGAATATTTTTCTTAAATAAAAATTATTTTATTCTTCCACCTCTTTATTTTCATGTTTTGATGTTTCAACTCAAATTAGAGTTTGACAAAGTTGATTCAATCTAACCCGATTTGAGAAAAAAAGTCAATAACTTAAATACGAAATGATTCAAATCAATAAATGAACTTAATTTGAAATAATCCATACTCAAAATGACCCAAAATACTCATTCAAAATAATTTAAATCCAAATAATCTATCCAAATTTAATTGATTTCTTTTTTTAAAAAAAGTGAACAAGTTAAATATAAAATAACTTAAATTCAGAACGATTTGAATTTAAAATGATCTAAATCTAAAATTATTTGAACCGAAAAATAACCCAAATTTCTTCCACTTTAAAATAACTCAAATTCGGTTAGGTAAGTCTTCCTCAATGGAAATATAAAAAAAAAAGATTAAAAGTTTACTAAAATAAACCAAAGGTTTACAAGGCATTAAGATTCTTGATAAAGTTTCTATATTTGTTTAGGGCAACAACTTTATATCTTTCTCTTATTACGGTGTGGCATTTCAGTAATATTTGTGTGTGCATATATCTGTATTGATGTAATGGGAATCTATCTTAGACGATGGAATGTTTGAGTGGGGGATTGCAAATTCACATAAGGATGAAAGCAACTTTACCCTCTAAGAGGGGGACACGTGTTCATGTAATTTAGTTCTTTAAAAACAGTGATAGAATCAGGATTTTATGTTTAAAGGTGAAAGGTAATACTTATCAAATAATCATATTAAAAATCTAATATTTGACAAAAACATGAAATAACTTAAATAAAAAAATTTATGTAAAAATTATACAAATAATTCTAATTATGTGTAAACCACAAAACAAAAATATTTTTAAAGGACAAGGGCATGCTAAGATTGAGTATCTCATCAAAGAAAACAATAAATTGTGGTTGAGGTAAAACTGTAAAATTTTAAAAAGTAAAGATATTTTTGAGAGATGGGGCCCTACTAACCCCCTTCCCTTCCCCACAATTCCAGGACAAGATGTTCTGAGGAGATCTTGCTAGAACACAAGGTTGGAAAATAACAAAATGGTTTCAAGTGCGTATTAATGTTATTGTTGTTTTCATTTATAATATATAAAAATATTATAAATGATAAATTTTTAAATATAATAAAATTTAATAATCGATTACGTTTAATCTTGACGTATTAAATTTATATACATTTTTTATAATAAATAATGTACATAAATTTAAAAATTATTAAAAAAATAGGAGATTGATATTACCGAAAACTGATAATAATTAATTCAGAATGAAAATCCCAATATACTTGTTTTTCCTTTTTGCTGATCCAAACATATGGGGATGCTTGGGGGCATTGGCTTACGCATAAATCACAGACATTTTCTGCTTCCCATAAATTGTTTTGCACACCACCCAATCTCACGTGCTGCTCACACACACTCCTTAAAGAATTGCTGCAGCAATGATGCACGTATATTTTACACCACAGATTTGCAGAGATCAATCATTCTTCCAACTTTTTCAGATACTTATGCTGATCCAATGGCTGAGGTTAGCTGCCCAAAATTTGAGCCTGTCAGGCGCACATCCTCATCCATGAGGTTCACCCCCACGTTATCATTTTTTCTCCATTCTATTCACGTTACAGGAACAGAGCCAGCAAACTAAATGCTTGGTTGGCTAATAGCCCCACTGCAAATGAATTCCAGGTGTTGAGCACGCTCCATGGGTGACGAGAAAGTGGACGTTGCATTGATGCCATGTTTGTTGCCTGGCCAGGCTTCTTTTAGGAGAAGCATCCCTCAGTATTATCCACGCAAGTTCGAATGTTATTCACATAAAATTTATTTGGAATTTGTATGTATCTGCACACGCTTTTTCACCAAAGATTTAAAAAAAAAAAAGAGAGAGAAGGTACAGAAAATCAACTTTTGGCTTTAATGGAAGAAGTGTTGAATGAGGAAGAGAGAGGGCCAGTTGACTTGTTGTTGACCCCAACCTCGGACTTTGAACTTGACCCAAACTTAAGGTTTGGTTAAGAAATGCCATTGCCAGGGGGTTAATCCAGCAGGACCTGCAATTTGGTTTAGATATTCATCGTCTTGACCTGGAAAGTTTTTTTCGAAAGGAGTAAAAAGGGCAGCAAGTCAAAGCAAAGACCATTTGCAGGCTCAGGTGGCAGAAGAAGGAGGCGGAACGGAGAAGCTTCGTCGGCTCCCTGATATGGACGGAACCACTCATGACCCCTGCCCCCATTACACAAAAGATGGGAATTTTTGAATAAAGAAAGAAGCTCCTTTGGTTTGGCTTGTTCCAAGTTCCAACCCCCCAAAAACCCATTCCAGGGGGTTGGCCAAACCCATTCTACTTTTAAGCACTAAATCGTCAATTAATCCAAAACGTCTGACAACGACCACACCAAACCCGGCCTTTTTGTCTTTCTTATTTTTTTATATATATATTTTTCAACTTTTTATTTTTCTTTTTCTTTCTGAAATAAATCTTCTGCCTTTCATTTTTCTTTTTGTTTTTATTTGATAAACGAGGCACATTGAATGCTTCAAAAGGGCGCGTGTAGTACACGTTCAGATTATGCGCGTGAGGATTAAACTTAAAATGGTTTTTTTTTCCCCTGACAAGAGAATCTTTTAGTGAAAGTTAAAAAACAAGGAAAGGATATTAATAATTAAATAATAGTATGTTGGATCATCATAATCCTTCTAACGTAATAAATTAATGATGAAAAGAAAAATAATAATAATAGTAATGAAAACTGAAGAAATAGGGGTGTTACTCCACATATTATAATTAAGAAAAGGGAAAGAGTACCAAACCTAACCGTTTTAATCAGTGGGGATGGTTGCTGTCCAGATAGTCTTCCCATTCAAGTAAAGTTAGTTGAAGTTGGGCACATTGAGTGAGAAAGTGGCCAACCCTCCCTCCCTTCTCTCTCTTACTCACGCTAATAATCATCATGATCAGCAGCAACCAATCTTAAAGAGAAGAAGAAAAAAAAATTACACTGCCAATTATAAATCCAACAAAAGGTGAAAGGTGGCCAAAGGAACAGAAAAGTAAAATTCTTACCAAGCAACGAAGAAAGCAGATTCAAAGTTGTAGTTTCTAGTGATAGAAAGAGAGAACCCAAGAAAGAAAGGGGAGAATAATGTTTAGAAGCATCACAACAGTTGAAAGAAAACTAGAAAAAAGAAAAAAATAGAACTGGCTACTACAACAAAACAAAATAAAAACAAAACCCTTGTAATAAAAAGGCTAGGAATAAGAAAACAATAGAAAACAAGGATGCTGTATGGGAAAAGGGCAGGAGCCTAGAGAAAGAAAGAGAAAAAAAGGGGGAGGGTCTTCTCTGGCCGGCTGCTGCTATTCTTCTTTTTTCTAGCTTCTTATAACTCAGCTTTTTGAAGGAGTCTTTGCAGAATTTGGGAATTTGGAAGCTCTTCCATAGAAGGTACATATATGTATGATCTTTTTCTGTTTTCCTTTTTTGGTTTTTTTTTTATAGTATTTTTGTTTCTACAAAGTTTTGGGTTTTTGTCAATTATGTTGTCCATGATCAAGGTAATCTTTTTTTGGCAGTGTGTTCATTATGTTCTTGGGGGAGGAGTAGATAACTATAATTTTCAAAAAGTGAGCTTTTTTTTTTTTTGGTTTCAAGGTAGCAGGTTTTTAGTATTAAAAATTTTCTGTCTTTGGATCTCTTTTGTCTAAGTGTCAGATGTTGTTTTCTTGGAAAATTGTTGTCTTGTAACCTTTAAACTGCTCAGAATTTCTTTTTTTTTTTATGGAAAGTATTTTTGTGTTCTCAAAACCAGAAATTTTAAAAAAGCAAGAAAAAATCCTCTAGCGTATTTGAAGAGTTTGTGGTAATATTTTTTTTTCTTTGTTCTGCTGGGGGGAACTTCAGCTTTCCAGAAGGAAAAGCTCTGTAAAGAGCGAGTTTATGCTGATTGTTAAGAAATCATATATAATTTTTTTTAATGATAAAAATAATGACAAATTTATCTTTCATGGGTGTTTAACAAAACAAAAATTTTTGGACTTTTGTGTCTGTTTGTGTTTCTGCAAGGGTTTGTATATTTGGACTGATATATTAGTTTTGACCTTAGCTTGAAACCTTTATTAAACAAACTGTTTTGAAGGTTAAACCAATTGTTAATGTGTTACTTGAGAAACTAGAGGCTGCTATTTGTTTAAGAAACACCAAAAGCCGAGTTGGAAATGAAGATTCCCCTGTTTCTTCTTTGCATCCTCTGTTCCTTCAGAGTGTTTTAATTTGGTTTTTGTTTGATTCATTCCTGATGGTGGATGACCTGAGATAGAGCTTCAGGCCGGTGTCCTCCTTGGTATGGTAGAATAAATTAATAGCATGCTGTAATCTTAATTCTCTTTCGATGAGTACTTATGGGGATTTTCTTGTTGACCTTGTCTTTGTGAATCATCTAGCTAATTTGTGATTATTGTTTTTACAAACGTTTCCAAATCTTAGTATTTGTTCTTTATAAAGAAACGTTACAATCATGAAGGCCTGAAAATAACAGGAAGTTGCCACAATAGTACTAAAGAATTATAATGCTTAAGGGGCAGTTTGATCAGATTTCATGGTTGAGATCTTGAATTCTAGAGCCTGTATGAGCAGTATTTGCATAAAAATGTTTTAATTACATTTTCTTTTTTTATCCTTATCATTCACGATTTAGACTTCACTGTAGAACGCAAAAATTGCATTAAATCTTACACATCCTTTTATGTCTACAGATAGAAGGATCAACGTTTCAGTCATATACGATTGGGCCTGCTGGCACTTAATTATTCTGTTTCATCCCATGGTTAGGCAGACACAGTAATGCTGGCAGTATGGGAAAGAAAGGGAGTTGGTTTTCTGCAATCAAAAGAGTTTTCATACCACAATCCAAGGAAAAGCTAAACAATGTAAGTTGATCTTTTAACTCTGGTGCTTAAGGACTTCACTGCTGCCTCTTTGGTTTTGATTCGCTCTAAGAAGGAATGTACTGCAATAAAGATGATATTTATTATTTGATTTCGTTAGTTATCTTCCTTACATGTTTGTTGGAAAAGGCTTGAATTTTGTGTATAAGGTTCAAACATGCCAGTAGCTTGTGCTAGAATGAAATAGTTTTATGTTTTAAAACCAGGATGTAATTACTGATTACAAGAGCATAAGAACATGGAATTTTGGAAAAATGATTAAAAGAAATGATAGAATTAGTTGCCTTCTGATAGATTATAGATGCATCTTTTCGGAGAGTGAAATTTCTGAATTGGAGTCTGTTGTTGTATAGTTAGCTATTGAGCTCTATGCGTTTGTTTCCTAGATGGAACAAGCAAAGTCCTCATGGCAAGATCCACTGCATATATCTCGTGCATCCCTAGCAGCACTTTAAATTTATTATCTTATCTTCCTCTCTAAGAAATGGTTTAGCATCCTTGGCTTATAAAAGCATGAATTTTTTTTACCTAAATGTTACTTAGATGATACCTTCTGTTTTCTATGGAGAAATCATTTCAGGAATCAGATAAAAGAAGTGGTAAAGAAAAGAAGAAGAAAGGCCTAGGAAAATTAAGGCATGGAGAAACCAACTCCTTCATTCCCCTCTTCAGAGAGCCTAGCAGTATTGAGAAAATTCTGGGGGATGCTGAAAGAGAGCATAAACTAATATTTAGGCCTCCCACACCTCCAGAGCAGCCAAGAACACCACCTTTTGTGCCTAGAGCTGCTTCTCCACGGGTTCCCTCTCAAAGGATTGCCTCTCCTAGGGTTGCTTCTCCGAGAGCTGCTTCTCCTAGAGCCACTTCCCCTCCACGAGCTGCTTCTCCTAGAGCTGCTTCTCCTCCCCCACCTCCACCTCCACGAGCTGCTTCTCCAAGAGCTCCTTCTCCAAGAGCTGCACCTCCTAGGGTTGTTCGTCCTCGACCAGAACCAACTTTAAGGAACCATCATGCTTCAGCTACAAAAATTCAAGCAGCCTATAGAGGTTACATGGTAAGTCCTTTCTTCTTATTATTAGAAGGTGTCAAGGGCAATTTCATGGGGCAACTTGTCTGAAAGGACAAACAATGAGAAGTGTTTTGGCAGTAGTACTGAATAACAATATCAGTAGCGAAATTAATTTGTTCAAGTTTTCATGTTTTAAGGATTTATGACAAATATTGATGTGGAATGTTATTGATTGTGGAAAACACCACATCTATAAGGCTATTTAGAGAATCAAAGATTTCAAGCTGGTATATATTTAGTCACTTTCCTTTCCACTTTTCCACCTGCTGATATATTGTAAATGAACATAATTCCCCATGGCAGAATTATAGACAGAAATGTGGAAAACTGTTTGATATGAACAACGTTTGAATGGGCCCAATAATAACTGAATTTTGCTTGGGCAAACAGTTAATTTCAGTGCTCTAGGTCATATATGGGTTGGTGCTCTCATGTTGTGTGTGGTGGACAGTAGATCCCTTTGTGGTGATATGTTTTGCATCATTATATCTCAACTTGATTATCTTGGAACTTCTCATGCAGGCAAGGAGAAGTTTTAGAGCTTTGAAAGGCCTTGTGAGGCTTCAAGGGGTGGTGAGAGGACAGAATGTGAAACGCCAAACTGTAAATGCCATGAAATATATGCAGCTTTTAGTGCGAGTTCAGTCTCAGATTCAGTCACGCAGGATCCAGATGTTAGAGAACCAAGCACGATGTCAGGCTCAGTATAAGAATGATAAGGAAGTTGAGAGTACCTTGGGCAAATGGACCTTCAGCCAGGCAGTAAGTTTTCCTTATTTGTATCTGTGATTGCATTGTAGTCCTCTTTCTTTTGAGTAGCTAGACCTTGTCAAATCCATAGAGACGCGCCCTTAAAACTTAATTATTTGAATTATTTAAAATTGTGTGATTCCATTAGACGTTGGTGCATTATCATTCTTATTTGAATTATTTGATGTGTAATCAAATGTGAATTGTCTTTCTTATCCAAAAAAAAAAGAAGAAAAAAAATGAAATGAACAGTAAAAACAAACAATTGTCTGATTTTTCCATAGGCCTGGGTGCATCATTCCAATGTAGCACTGACCTTTTTTCATCAAGCCTGTCACATGGTATTTAAATACACAATACCTCCACCTTTACAACACCTTGAATGGTTATCCTTTACCTAAGAAGGCTCTGGTTCATAGGACCTTAGGATACTAGGTGAAATGTGAAGATCATATATTCCTGTTTGTTTCATGTATATTTGCTCTCTATATTGGTGTTAAAATGAGTAACTTGGTTGAATATTGGACCAGTCTGAGACAGGCAATGAGGACTGGGACGATAGCATGCTAACAAGAGAGGAAGTAGAGACAAGGATGCAAAGAAAGGTGGAGGCAGTCATCAAGAGAGAAAGGGCTATGGCCTATGCATATTCCCACCAGGTACCCGAATTTATTTTACTACCCCAGTCCAGTTTCAGCTGTATCATGTTGGATGGTTTATAAAGTCATATTTTGAGCATATTTTTTGCTGAATGCCTCTAGCTGAAACAATACTTTATCCTTCTACGGATAATTTACTTGTTTCCTTCTCCTATGCCTTGTTTCTCACTTCTCAATTCATCAGTTAGATAAGCTTTCTAGTTTTCTTTACCTCTTTTATTTACTGTATTTATTTTATCTTTGTGAAGTCAAATGCCTTCTAGGTAACTATAACCTGTTTTTGGGTTTTATAATCTTTTATTGAATGCAAGTCTCTGATAGTTTTAGAAGCTGCAATGGTAGCATTGGCAGAAATCAGACACATAAATTGATCTTGCAAGAGCATTTGAAGCTAGACCTTGCTGTCTGAATGTCAAAAGCTTGTAGTTTTTTACTTGCAATTCCTGGGAAACTGCATTCCTTGAACATTTCATGTTAGACATTAATGAGGTTGATACGCAAGTATAAAAAAAAGTCAGTTCCCTCTGCATGTGCGTAGGCACAAAATTACAGAGAAATAGTCCAGTTGGGGTTGTATGTCAAACCTAAGGAAACCTTAGCTTTCATCTCTCGTTAATTAAACTTGTACAAGACTCATTACCATTGACATATCTATTTTTCTTTGAATTTTTCATTTAAAACATTTCTGCATACAGCTATGGAAAGCTACTCCAAAATCAGCGCAAACAGACATTCGCTCTGGCGGATTCCCGTGGTGGTGGAACTGGTTAGAACGTCAACTACCTCCTGTGAATGCTGCCGAAAGCCAAGGCGTGAAGGGTTTCCAACTTACACCATCAAGGCCAAATTCTGAATTGAAGCCTAGCCCTAGGCCACCGTCGAGCAGCAAGCAACATCTTTTCACATTTGACAATATAGACACTCCCACACCAAAATCTACAAGATCAACTATACTCCCGGCAACAAGACCTATGCGAACTCCACCTCCTAGTAGAATCCCGCAAGCAAGCGGCTCAGGGTTGTCGAAATATTCAAGACCAAGAGCGAGTGGAGCTGATTCTCCATTCGACTTGCCCCTGAAGGATGACGATAGCCTTATGAGCTGCCCGCCGTTTTCAGTTCCCAATTACATGACGCCGACAGTTTCAGCCAAAGCCAAAGCAAGAGCTAACAGTAATCCCAAGGAGAGGTTTATGGGGACTCCGGGGAGTGAATCAAAGAGGAGGCTTTCATTCCCTTTGACACAAGGGATTGGGTCTTTCAAGTGGAGCAAAGGGTCATTGTTTTCTGGCAAGGATTCAAGCTCTCAAAGGGGTTTAGAGAAGCACCAATCACTACAATCTATAGGCAATTTGAGTGTGGATTCAACCGTTTCTATGCCTGCCACGGTTGGAAGGAAGCCATTTAACCGATTTGTGTGATTTTATTTTTCCTTTATTTTTAACCTTTGATTACTTCATTTTGGTGTTCTTTCTTAAATCGAGTGTATGGTGATATGTTGAGTTACAAAAATTACTGATGTGAAATAAAAACAGAAACCGATAGGAAATGATGATTGGTTTGAATGTCACAGGATTTGGGGTTTGGTGAGATACTATTAATAGTAATTCTTTTTTTTTTCTTTTAATCTGTTTTATTATTAATTTGAGAATTTTCTTTCCATTATTACTATGGGAATATCAAAACTAATTCAGTTGGATATCTGATATCCATGATCATCTGACTCATAATGCTTGTCGTTACAATATTCACAACAAAATTAGTTAAGATTATGAAATTGACATTGATCAATGTCAATTTATTAGTTGCAAAAAATATTATATAATAATTATACAAAAGAAAAATTGCAATCCCTATTTATGAGTTGGTGAGAAAGAAAGGGTAAGGCATGCAACAAAGTTAAGCTTTCTATTCCATTTGCCCCAATTATTCACCAAATTACTTCTCTTGAAACATAAAATAACGTATGAGTCTATAATAATAATAAATATAATAAATTTGTTAGTGCAATAAGCTCAATATAAATATTTTCAAGAAGGGTGAATTTGAATATTTTAAGATTTTTTTTAAATTTAAGAAATATAAAAATTTAAAAATAATTTAAAAAAAATTAACTTTTCCTCGATTGAGCGAAAATAACAATCCGAGCTAATAGAATGACATTCTGTTGAATGATTATAATGACTTTACCTTTGCAATCATATTCCCTTTCATTATTAAAAGTAGTAGACTTTTTGGATTTATTTGAGCATTTGAAAAATAATTTCATTCACTTATTTCTCGTTTCAAAACTTAAAACAAAATTGAAACAATAAGTTTAACAAAATTATTAACTTAATCATCTAAGTTTTTAGAATATTTTAATTTTAATCTTTAATGTTATATAATTAGTGCGTCTTCTGTCTTCTAACTCTTACACACTATTAACGCGTTCTTTTTTTGTTTCGACATTTCATATCATCATATTTATGTGAAGTGGTCAAATCCATGTCATTATTTTAAATTATCATTTTGTAACATAAAAATTATGACGTGAATACCGAATATTGTTTCAAAGTTGGATGATTATGAATGCACCATTTTATATAACATCAGTGAACCATGCATTATTTCCAAAACTAAATAACAAAAAATAAAAAATTTGGAAATTTAAATGACTAAATAAGTAATTTATTCTGAAGGTAGTGAAAGTGGGTCAAACCAAGACTTCAAGCATGTCATAATTTTTTCAAAAGAAAAAAATTAAAATTTTCTGATCCTTCACTGTAGAAATTCAAAACATATAATCAATAATTTATATTTCACGCATGGCATACAAATGGTGCGATCCTATTGGCTCAATGCCATATGGGTGGATTGTGTTAACGATATTATTAATTAGACTAACCTGAATGAAGAAATTAAAATTCAGGTAGCATGTTACGTATTTTCTTAATACCAAAGGGCCAATGTGTAATTATCTGTTTTGAGCAACTAACTTGGCTTATTTCAAGAGTTCTCTCTTTTGCGCGGTCACGTCGTCTAATGATCTTAACGTCTAAAGGTCTTTTATATAGTTATTTTCCATTTAAGTATAATAATATTAATTTAAAAGTTATTGAAATAAGGTTAATTTCTAGTGTAGATATTACTCTTTTTGTCCCATTTTGTTTTTTTTTATTAAATAAATTTAATTTTGACAATTATTTTTTATAAAATTATAAAATTTGTAAATTTTGAATTTCAAACTTTTCAAAACATATTTTTTGAGATTTTAATTTTGTATAATGTTTTGAAAAATATCAAAATTGAATTCATGTCATAAAAAAAAAAGTCAATAAAAAATAAACAAAATGAAACAAAGAGATTAGTATTTATATTTCTTTATTATTAAAAACTACAAGGAAAATAGTTAAAAAATAAATAACAAAAATATTTATCATTAGACGGAGTTTTAGGTACATGGTTCATTGCAATTCACGAGTGCTATTAAATTATTTTTTTTTAGAGAAAAGGTTTATGTATCCTATTTAAGTGTCCAATGTTATGTAACTGTCATGTGGAGATTCCATATTGTTTCTTTTCTTTGTTAAAATAATCATTTATAAAAAGATTTTTGTAATTAATGTATTATTTGCTTTTAAATTTGATGAGAACAATGTAATAAATGAAAAATACTTTTTAATATAGAATTTAACTAACTTTAAAAGCTACTTAAAAGCATCAATTAATCCTATCCCTTATTAAATTTCCTTAACTATTTATAATCTTATGCTTATTTGAATCTATCATATGTTAATTAAGGTTTAGAGTGTTCTTCTGCTTGTCTCTTTCAATTTGGTGGTGTTGAGGATGGTTAGTGTATATATTTATTAATTACTCAACTATATATATATATATATAAATTTCTCAACTATTTTTGCCTCAAGGAATTTAATCATGGAGGTTTACATTAAAAAAAAGAAATGAAAAAAATAGGAAAAAAAAACAAAATGAGGATATTTTAGTAGTTAAACTAAATCAATAAATTACTTTTTGGACATATAATTATAAATTTTTTTGTTCCAAAAAGTAGAGATCTAATATCAGCTTTTTAAACGAAAATTAAGTTCATATACTTACCATTAAACTTAAATGCTCAAACATTATAATTATAAAATCTCGAATTCTTCGCAACATGTGTATATGTTTAGATTGATTTCATGAAGAAGTTTGAAACTTACAATTTGATGTGTAACCACTAACCAATATTATAACTATTAATTTTGAATTTTTTAAAAAATAATAAAACGAAATTTATGGTATGATAGATGATAATTTTTTTTTATTGTGCGTACAAATTCCTAATATATTTTATATGTGGGAAAGCAAATTAAAGAGGCTTTATGCCTTACAAGTTACAATAAGAGAAGGTTAATAATATTGCTCATCGATCCTAATCACCGATCAATCATCACTTCAACAAAGAAATAATATTTTTGAAAAAAATATATAAAAATGTAATTTTTATATATAACAAAACGCATGCTTTAATTTTACTTTTATATAAGCTATCTATATTATATTTTATGTTACAGTTTAATTAATTATAATTTTGATTGTACTTTATGACAGCGAATAGTAAATCGAGAGAAAGAAAAATAGAGGAGATGATTTGAAGGGAGAGTAAATCGAAACTGATTGTGCTTTTTGAATTCCTTATCTCTAAATATTTTTGGGGGTATGGGAGCAAACTCAAAATATTCTCAATTCATTGCCCATTTTGTAATTCCCCCGAGATAGATCTCTGCGTATAAAAGCGAAGGTGCCGAAGCCCAAAAACAACTTCACAAAGAGAAAGAGCAAAGGGAGTCTTGAACCCCAAAATAAGCAAAACGCACAAACAATGGGTCTGAGATGTAATCCCATGACTTGTCTGAGTAAGAACCTCCCTTGTTTTGGTCTTCCAGCAATGGCCACCTTCACAACTCCCAAGCTTTTCATGGCCTCCGCTATTCCTTCCACCTCCAAGTAAGTGCTTCTTCTTCTTTTAATTCGTTATTTTCTTGTTAAATCATAGCTCTTGATTTCCTTTCTTGAGTTTTTCTCCCTTCTTGGTAGATTCTTTCCTCTAGTTTTTGTTTTTTTTTTTCCCTCTAGAATTATTTTGGGAAGTTTCGTTCAAAGTTCTCGACTTAACAATTATAACATGTTGTGTCAACATTTATTACAAAAATTAATCTTACTAGATTACAAGTTAAAGAACGAGATGATTATTTGGAAAGAGACTAACCAAAAAGGTGTGATAACTTTTTATAAAATATTATTCATTAATTCAAAATTAAAGAATGATAAATATTTTTTATGAATAATTGTAAATTTATTTATAAAAAAGTATTAAAAGTCAAAATTAATTAATTCAAATAAATAATTTGTCTTTCTTTCTTAATCAAATTCCTTCCCTCTGAAGTTTTAAAGGGAAAATTTGAGTTTTGCTGATTGTAATTTTTTGAATGCTTTTGTTGAGTTTTAGAGGTATGTATATTGCCATTAATCTTAACAGTAACATAGTAAAAATACCTATTCGCATCAGACAGGAACAATTCTTCAAATTTTGTTCCTCGAATTACATATAAACAACGGCCCTGCAGCAAATGAATATTTCAGTTGTGCTCCCTTCTTCTGAGTCCACCCTCCCTCTTTCTCTCTCAGCCTCCCATGGGCAAGGCCATGTACCAACACTCAAGCAAATCAATATGTCATTTAATGCACCAAAAAAAGAAATAATTAGGGGAATTATAAATAAGGGAGATAAAGATTGTTTTTCATACTAATTAAAGTAAGTTTATTTTTAATAAAACGTCATGGATGATAATTTTTTTTTTCTAATTGAATTAACACTGTTATCTTTTTCAAATGATAAAAGGGCCTCAAGGTATCACAATGAAGTAATTTTATACTTAACAAATTATTTTTTTAGCATATAATTATAAAATCTTTTTTGTTTGAAAGAGTAGAGATCTGAAATCAATTTTTGAATAAAAGATTAACTACATGTACTTAACTTTAAACTTAAATGCTCAAATGTTATAATTACAAAATCTCGAATCCTTCACGACATGTGCATGTAGGGCGTAGACTTGTCAAAATGAGCCTGACCCATCGGGTCAATCTATTTTTTATTAAATATGGGGTGGGTTAGATTTGAAAATTTTGACTCATATTTAAACTGGGCTTAAATGGGCCAACCCTATGGGTTAAAAAAATAATTTTAATTAATTTAATAATTTTATATATTTAATTATGTAAAATTAATAATTTAGTTACCAATAGTATTGTTTATTTTATATATTTCAATGTCTTTAATCTTCACTTATCAAATTAAAAATTTTAATTTAGATTAAAACTTATTATCTTTTTTTTTATGATAATGAATATTAGATGATAAATTGATAATAATTCAGACCTTGAGACATCATTGCTATCTAAACAAGATTTAAATGTTTTACTTGAAAATGAAGATTAAGGAGGATATAAATGAGTCTTGAAATTTTTATTATTTGGTTATATACTTATGTTTATGAGATAGTAGTTGATGGTAAAGATTTAAACTTTATTATGTAATTTATTTATTTTTTTATAT